GCAGAAAACATAATTAGTTAAGTGAATCTCCTGCATCCACAGCATGGAGCCATGAAAAGCAGACACCAAGCAGAGGCTGTTATTTTTGGTGTTTCGTTTTACTGCGTTCCTCACACAATAGTCACACAATCTAGTATTAGGAAAGAGATCCATGCCATTCGCCTGACATCCTTATTCGCGATCGAACCCGCAGCCATCCTGTCATGTGGCCGACATTCCGTCACTCTTTCCGGCAGCCAGTCAGATTCGGCCCTGCCGGCTCCGCCTCCCCTTCCCCCCCCCCCATTCCCAGAACGTATCGATCACGAGTAAATAGCACTCTGGGATCGATACCACTCACTGTCACGTAAAGAGGACCCTTTTCGCCATAAACACACACCTTCTGCAGGTCTGCGTTTGTAAGCAGCATTGCAGACCTGCACTTTCTGAGGCTTTACTGAGATCATAAACTGTAACCACCTAGTTTGTTTTGCGCAATAAATACGCCATCCATGCCGTGACTGCACATGGCCTTCGACATCACTTCCTCCATATAAATTCTTTGCACGTATACAGAAAACTACAGGGCATGAGGGTTTCAGGTAAAAGGCTACAAAACGTGTGGGATGAGCACTTTGACACCGTGTGGATTTTACAGTCGAGGACCTGCCGTATACTACTGGAAAAACTTATTTAAGGAGTTTAACATCAGCAATCAGTAGTAGAGAAGGATACAGTTTTATGTGCCTTTAATGGCATTTCATTTGCAGTTTTGTTCAATGGAGTGCAAAGTAAAAAGGATCTGTAAATGCCACAGGTTTGATTATGTATGTTCTATGTTCTGTCTAGGCCGGCCTGATTAAAATGCATTTACAGAGTTTCTGCTGAAAGAGGGAACTCCACACCACTGGCAGTGTCACTTCTGTTAACAAGCAGAGGAGGCGAGGTCGTGTGAATCAGGCCGGCGCACAACGGTCCAATTAGCGCTCCTGGCACCGATGAGCGTTTTCTCCATCCGGCCTCTAGAGGGCGATTGAACTGTCGCCAACGCAAAGACGTGGCAGGGAACATGGTTAATGAACCGCCGAATGAACGGCGGCGGCAAACTTCACAGGGAGTAGAGACAATGAAGACAAGACCCTAATTTCAGCGAGCTATCTTCATTACACTCGACATAATGAGCTGTCAGGTGCGACCCGTGAGAATGGCGGTGGAGGCAGCCCGGACAGAACAACTGTCAGAACTGGGCGACGAGAGCGACGGTGCAGTGAGGCCCAGAACCGGGAGCGAGGATTCCAAACGGCGGGATAACGGAGGCTAGCTCATTAGCACGTGCTACCAAGACCTTCGGAATGAACCTTCGGGAGATGAAAAGAAGTGTTTGTGTTTAAACAGCAGGAAGACTAATGGAAAATCAACAAGAAGCCCATATGGTGGTAGGGTTCAATTAAATATTGATCTGTGAGTAAAGACAAAAACCTGTGCCTTTGGAAATCAAAGCTAGAGAGTCTCCCTCTGATGCGGCTGACTGACCTCCAGGCATTCCACGCAGGGATGTAGGCGAGATCCTGCCTACACAAGACCCAGCGTCGAGTGGCGGTGTACACTCATCTCAGCAGGATGCTCTCAGAACGGGAAGGAGAGGGGGGGTTCATCACCTTCCAGGGGCGTTCGGGACCACATGAGGTGTTACACGGCCCCCGCAATGCCACACGAACACCTCCGAACATCAACGCAGGGTTTACAGAAGCCCAGAAAGATGCTGGTTTGTCAGGAACATCGTCTACCAGACAATGTGAATAACGAAAATGACACCATCATTATTCCTAAACACTTATGAGGGGAATATCGATTTCCTTTCCTCTTCCAGCCCGAGTCTGGCTGCTTCATTACCCATGGGAGGTTCTCTTGGGGAGGAACTGTGGAGGGGACACTTCACTCGGGGACAAAAATTGTGAGATCTGCAGAACTCGCCGGATCGTGACAAGCTGCCCTGGGCATCTCCCTCTGAGCTACGAGGTCTTGGCTCTTGGGGATGTTCAAATATTCATTAAAAGGACATTACACAAGTATTCTTAGGGTATCGTAGCACATTACGACAAGAAAATCACATTAACCGTTATCCAAAGGTTCCAGCGGCGCGGCCTGGAATTGCAGGAGCTGTTTATTAAATGAGCTAAACGCTACGACTCAGTGTAGCTTTCATCACGGCTTGGCCTCAACCCACAAGCCCAGCGGAACAGCACAGCAGGATATTGTGCGATCACAGCAATCCACTTCACCATCACAAAATTCAGTTTCACAAGCGCTTAACCTCTCCGGAAAAGGAACCTCCGAAAATACTCTTCTTGGGCTGGCTAAACCCTTCCTAATCCCTGAACTGTGAACCACAAGCTCCGGTTAAATCAAGCCTAATTCTTAAATTGCAAACGGCGGGCTGCCCCCGGAGGGTGAGAATGACGACTCAGATGTGCACAGAACGTGAGCTTTGTCTACCAATTGATGTTCATGGACCCATAACAAGGCAAACGACAAACACATGCTGATTCGACAAGCTCATATTCTCCATGATCCACCATGCTGGTGCCCAGAACAAGAGAAGAAACATCCTTGTTGGGTGTCTGTCATTTGTCATGGGTCCCAGACCCCTAGTGATGTGGCTTCACACCAGCTGCCTCCCAGACCATTCCAGTTAACCCCAGTGCATTGATCACCATGATGGATGATGTCAAACCCTGCCCCAGGTCCTCAACCCCCCATCATGGACAAGGTAATGATTAAAGATCTCCAATGCACTCACATGTGGATCTCATCAAAATGGGGGTCTGCCCCAATAGCAGCTCAGCCACCTCTCGACAGTGTAGTGCTCAACGATAACCTCATGGACGTTAGAAGTAGAATGATCTGAACACTTGCCTGAGTGATAAGGCGGCGAAAAAGCCATCAGGGAATAAATATATGTGGAGCAAGACGTCTCAGACTAGATCTCCGGCGAGTCTGATTAGGGAGCTTGTGTGTGGTTTCATTCCCTGATCTGCATTAGCTGTGCACTTTGATCATCTTAAGGATCACAATGCAACAGTGCCAAACAAGAAGAAACCTTCAGCACATGGTGGAGACCATACCCTGTCGAAGAGACCTTTCGGATGAACTTCCAGTGCGGGGTGAAGTGGTGCATGCTCACTGCACACCTGCTGGGGGGAGTGAGGGCCCTCACAGGCAGCGGTGAGTAAAGATCATGCCAGACATGGGGCTAACGCTGGTGCCGCCTTCCCAGAATGCTCTCCTGAACATGAGCAGATGTTCTGAGCAGCCACACTGTTCGGGGGTGACGTCGGATGGCAAGTCTTCATTCCATAATAATTCATTTCAACCTCTGAAAAAGGGCTCCCTTTTAGCCACCACTCACCCCCCCACCCCCACCCCACCGCCACCCCACGCCGCCATTTCGGCAAACTCAATACAGCTGGCGCCACACAATCGCGATTAATCTAATTGCCCTCCACTTCCCGAAGCAGCAAAGTCGAGATGAGGACTGATGGATGCTTTCCCATGTGAGGAAGTGAGAGAAACGTAACACAGGCAGATAAAGAGCGGGTCTGTATCCGCTCGGCGGGACAGAGCGTTCCCCAGCCCAGACGATGAGCACGAGGCCCGGATGTCAGGCGAAGGTAGGAGCCGTCGCTCTGCTCCACGCAAACAGGGCACCTGCACCCGCCTCCGGCCCCCTGCGGCCCCCCATGCCGGCCTCTGTGGGTCTGCTTTCGGAGGGTCTGTAACCAATTTTCTTTTGATTCCAAGTAGCATGTGAGGAAGCTGGAATTTCACCTTTCAGGGACCCCAGAGGGGATCGGAATACGGGGGGGACAGCGAACTTATGGCAAGGCCGTCAGAGCAGGAGAGGCTCCCCAATCCGGCTCGCCGTGATGGGGGGGGCGGGGGGATTTAAAACGCACCACAATCCCATGCTGCTGCAGAAGACCACTTCACTGAGAATGAATGTGGCCTGCTCCCTCATAGGTAATTTTGCCTTTTTCTGGTGTGACCATGACCTCTGATAACCTCACACGCAGATATGAGTGATTCAGAGCAATTTCCAAAGAGTACAAGTCTGTATCGTTACTGCCTCGCTTTCCTGCACGCTAAGATTAAAGCCCAATAAATATACGATCCAGACATCGAAATACATTCACCTGCTGTGTTTCGGTTTTACAGTCTATTACGCCCAAAACTCAGCAAATTCGCCTTAATTTCCCTAAGCAAGCCTGTAAAAGAATACCTGCTGTGATTTATGAAATCTTTCCTATGTATACAAACTTTAGAATAACGACCCGTGCTGCATTCAGATGAGCCCCATGCAGGGCAGGTGCTGCTGTGACATTTCACGCTCAGAGAGTCATGTGACCAGCACAGCGCCGCAGAGGTAACATGCCTGAAAAGACACTGCGTGCATGTTGAGGAAATTAGCAGATCAACCCTCAGTGATGCAGACACCCAGCTAAATATTTATATATGTAATTAAAATACCCACAATTCGGTGTGTTAGTGCATACATAGATCAAATTTGAGGACCAAATTGTCCCCAAAGTGTAGTAAAACATGAAATTTCCCTACTTTTGGGGACATCTTTTGAGGTCCCCATTTGGATAACCTCAGTTTTATAAAAATCAGTGAATGCAATCAACAAAGTAAAAATGCCAAAAGTCTTGTATTTGGGTTAGTCACTTATGGTTAAGGTTAGGGATGGGCAGAGGTTAAGAGTGTCGTGATTGGGATTATAGTTTTCCCATAGAAATGAATGGATGGTCCCCATTTAGATAGGAAGACCAACTTGTGCATGTGTGTGTGTGTGTGTGTGTGTGAGAGAGACACAAAGCAAGACAAAGAGGGGGGGGGAGGGCCCTTCCCCCACACCCCTATTCATCACTGGCCAATATGCCAGGCTTGCCCCTCCGAAATGGACCAAGAGGCGCTTATTCCAAAGGCATTGTTTGGGGATAATGGGAGCTAATAAATCTTACCTCCTCGCCTGTCAGGTAGTACGCCGAGAGCAGGCCGCCGACATAGCGGATGTTCACCTCGAAGAGGGATGCTTCTCCATTCTGGAGGGGAAAGAAATGTATACAAAAATCCGTCAGGAACCCAGAGACACCTCACCCTCACCTCAGTAAGAGAATTCGATCACACAGTTTAAACACACACCAGGCACATGTACCACTGCCGGGACTTTTGTTTAAATCCCATTTAAATGTAATTAACAATCCCTGATACACTTTGAAGCTGTCAACAAAGTAAAAATGCATTTGTCAGCGTCTGTGTTTGCGACAGTCACGCTTGCACGTGACCTCCCGCACCCCGTGTTTGTGGAGATCCCGGACTGCAAATTGAGTCTTCTTTTGTTTTTTTTTTCTTGTTTTTTTTTCATTATTTGTCCACTTAATTTCCATTCATAATTTCACTTTATGCTGGCTGTGGAAGAAGAAAGGGAAAGAATTTAAGTGCGAGAAAAACACCCTAAAATACTGAGGGCTGAAAACTTCAGGGCCAGTGTCTGACAAACAGTTCATGTCCACACTCATCCTACAGAAATGTAATTACAAGGGGGGGAAAAAAGAGTTTAAAAACATCGCTGCAAGAATGCACAAATCAGTAGAGGCTTAGGTTTCAAGTCACTATTAGGGTAGAGCTAGGTTTAGTGTTGGCATTTTGGGTAAGGCTAGTTAGGGTTAGGTTTGGCATTTTTGGTTAGGTTTAGGGTTAGGTCCAAGATTAGGTTTGAGAGAAACAAGATGCATGAGCAACCCTCTCTGCTTACATCAGCACAGGTCCTGTTACCCTTGTTGGGGTTAAGGTTGGCATTGGCAAAAAAAAAAAACTATGCTGAGATAACTGCATTTTTTTCAGTCATCAGCCTTCATCCATTCCTACCAGCAGTCTGCAACCAGGAATTTATCAAATCAATATCCCCCATCTGCATGTCAAAACAGATTTCCTTTAACAAGGGGTGTTACTCCTGACGGGTCTGAATCTGCCATTTTAAAGCAGGAGGTGACTTTATTTGATCATCATCAGCTTTCTGTTGGAGCAGTCAAGCAAATTGTGGTGAGAATGGCAGCCTTATAGTAGATGGTGGACGTTTGAGGCTGATAATGGCTTTGTCAAGACCCAAAAAAAGAAAAAATATAAAAAGAAGCTTGCGTCCGCCCAAACTGGAAGTGCTGGAAGTCCACAATACAAGTGAAGATGATGGAAATAAGGGGTTTCCGGAAGAGATTGGCAGGGTCACGGTTTGCCGAGGCAGTACTGGCCCACGGCAGCTGAACCGTGCAACCCGCTGGAGTAACGCAACCAAAATGCTAGCAATTACCACGGCTCTCTGGCAGATAAATGCAAACAGAGTGACAGGACCCAAGCTTTGGGCCCCCCCCCCCCATCACTGCCACTGGTTCTGTATGCTATAGGCATGAGTTAATAAGTACACAAATTAGCACAAATCGGAAGCAGGCAGAAAAAAACAGAGAATTACAGAAAGGAAAAAGAACGAGAATAGTTTATTAAACCTCGTGGGGAAATTCGCAGACATATATACACGTGAGAGCAAGTTTGGGATTCACAGTGCGGGGTTAGGCCGCATCGGTGCCGGACGCAGGATTCGAACAGGCGACATCCCGATCACGGACACAGAGTCCCAACCTGCTGAGACACCCTCCCCCAAACGAGGGAGCTTCCGGTCACTGGGGGGCTGATCTGTCAGCTTGAGAGACGGCCAATTAGGGGATGGCACTCGCTGAGGGGCATTTCCAGCACTGTCGGGGATGGATGCCTGTCTCCCAGCAGAATGACTGGTCAGGCACCCCTCGCTGAGACACTGACACATTGACAGGCATTTCATCTGCTAAAGGTATCTATATGAGCCTAATTAGACACCTCCCCCCCACCCCCCGCCATTTCTCACTGGTTTTCATAGCACAAAGTTGCCTGGGGCCAGTGGGCCATCGCCAAAGCCGAGGAATTTATTCCCGGGCAGAAGTGCTACGCAGTCATGTGTATACATAGCAGACGTAATACAGCGCCCCCTAGCATCCATCTTGAAAATAAAAACCTTACTTTTATGGAGCTGGAAAATATGTCCCTTAAGTGTAACGGCCAAGAATACTCTGCTCAAAACCCAAGGGATCAATGTCATACTTAAAAAAGTTAATTTAGGAAGAGGTATCGCTGCCTTGTTAAGCACATAACTTCCCCGACGGGTAAAACCACCTTTGATCCATGGAGGGTCTATGACATACTTCAGGTACTTAAAGTATAGTCTTAGCATCTTCAAAGATCATTATAAGCTGTATTATAGCTAGAAGAGGAGACTTGAAAATGTTTCAGGTCACCAAGGCGAATCTGAGGAGAGCAGGAAGGGGATGCGAAGAGAATGCTAAACGGTGCACACTACAGCAGCAGAGCTTTCCAGCCCGCTGGGTGCCGGTCCCCTGAATAAACATCCAGAGGGAACAGGGGTGCAGTGGAGAGCCAGCTGCAGAAACCCCCCAAAAAACAAACACACTTCAGAAGAGTGGCCTCCGACCATTTCACTTATAAAAGGGCAAGTATGAAAACAAACGAAAGGACGTTTTATTAGATATTTGCAGAAGGATGAGTACAGGGACACTGGAATGCTTCTTTTCACATATCCCATCATGCTCTCTTTTGAGAGATTCATACAAGTGAGGGTGAAGCTTGTGGTCCCAGCCATCTTTCTGGCAGCCATAGAGGATTCAGGTCCTTACTCAAGTGCCCAACAATGGTATCAGTCTCCCAGGTGTGGGATTCAAACTGGCAACCTTCAGATCAGGGCCACAGAGTGCCGGGCTGCTGAGCCGCATGCCATCGCCCTAACAAGCAACCAAGGAACCGGGAGAATTCTCTAGAAGGCTGCTCCCAGAATTATCAATGACTGACAGAATAAACATCAGTAATTACAGCACATTTCAAAGCAAAGCTGTACAGTATCTGTTACCCCGCCTGACGCAAATCCTATTCCTGCCCCCACCCCCAACACTTTTCTTCACACAAAACTTATAGCAATAATCTAATCAGAGCACCACATGCAATAACCCTAAACGGGCTATTTCTATCCAGCCCCGTCTCAAAGGAAAATTAAAATCTATCCCTTTTGTTTTGAGACTTGAGTTAAATGGCACCAGATGTCTTGGGGACTCCTGGACCATAATTAATGTGCAGAGATATCAGGTTACATCTTTAAGTACTGGCTCAGCAAATGGCTCTTATTGTAAGACGATAAGCTGTCTGGTTTACATTTGGAAGCAATGGCCTTTATTGTGACGGGGTGGCCCCAACACAGAGGCAATGTGGCCCCCTCTTCTGTGTGTGCAGGAAATGCTAATGGCAGGGAGTTAACATTCAAACGGCGTGACCTAGCCGCATAGCAAGCAGGCCGTGGCTGGGCTGCTGTTTCAGGCTCCTCGCCAGGGGCGCAGTAGGCCCGGATACCCTGGCTGCTTTAGGGGGGCTGAGCTGCCACCAGTTCTTGAAATGGGCTGGAACTCACAGCTATGCTATAGCAGGACCTCTTTGTTTTTTCTCTTCAGAGTACTGGCACCTCTCAATATCTGCTGCAACTGAATAAGAAGCAGGGTACCAGCACCTGGTATTGAATATCAAGGGGAGTACCGGCACCTAGTACTGAATATCAAGGGGAGTACCGGCACCTAGTACTGAATATCAAGGGGAGTACCGGCACCTAGTACTGAAGATCAAGGGGAGTACCGGTACCTGGTATTGAATATCAAGGGGAGTACCGGCACCTAGTACTGAATATCAGGGGGAGTACCGGTACCTGATACTGAATAACAAGCGGAGTACCGGCACCTGATACTGAATAACAAGCGGAGTACCGGCACATAGGCCTGAATAACAAGCGGAGTACCGGCACATAGGCCTGAATAACAAGCGGAGTACCAGCACATAGACCTGAATAACAAGCGGAGTACCGGCACATAGACCTGAATAACAAGTGGAGTACCGGCACATAGACCTGAATAACAAGCGGAGTACTGCCACCTCTTTTGCCCAACTTCAAGCACTGATTGCCACCAATCCCATATATTATTGGAATGTCTTACAAAGTAAAATACCTTGCCCTTTATTTTCAGACACACACCCCTTCTGGCAAATTTTAGTGTGGGACCCCCCGTACACTGCAAATTGTATCTCAGAGGACCCCCCCCCCACACACACACACACACACACACATACACACACACTATGCCCCTGCTCCCTGAAGCCCTTCTGAAACCCTTTCTGCAAGCAGGCTGAGCCAATCGTATCTGCGGAACCCATGCCTGCCACCACCTTAAAAGGTATCCACAATGTTCTCATATCATCCTTTAACACTTGACCAATATGATCATGGAACAATACTCCTTTAACATTACAACACCAGTGCAATCCTGCTATACCGTTCCTTGAACAATTTACCTGTATGATCCTGGTACAGCATTCCCTTAACACCTTAACGGTGTGATACTGGTACAGCGTTCCCTTCCTGGTACAGCGTTCCCTTAACATCTTAACGGTGTGATCCTGGTACAGCGTTCCCTTCCTGGTACAGCGTTCCCTTAACACCATAATGGTGTGATCCTGGTACAGTGTTCCCTTCATGGTACAGCGTTCCCTTAACACCATAACGGTGTGATCCTGGTACAGCATTCCCTTAACACCTTAACGGTGTGATCCTGGTACAGCGTTCACTTCCTGGTACAGCGTTCCCTTAACACCTTAACGGTGTGATCCTGGTACAGCATTCCCTTCCTGGTACAGCGTTCCCTTCCTGGTACAGCGTTCCCTTAATACCCCATTGATGTGATCCTGGTACCACATAGAGCAGCGTGTACTGTAGTTCCGCATGCACCGCCTTGGGCTCTACAATCTCAGTGCTCAATTAATCCCTTTGTCTTTAATTAAAACAAAAACCAGCCCTTCATTTAAAAATCAAACTACGTGGAGATCACCTGTCATCGGCGCTAAGTGGTAATTACAGGGACCAATTAAATCAAAGCATCCAGGTCCCAGTAGTCCTGCACACGAGGGT